ATGATCTCGAAGTGGAAAATAAACTGCCCATGGGAATTCGGGGTCTGTCACGCTACAACATATGTTCAGCTGAAAACAGAGAAATGAAGAACAACAGCTCAGGTTAACGCATGTAGCACACATTATTTGAATAATATCCAAACTAAACAAAAGTTCCAAACACGCACAGAAGGACGGCGAACACAGCCCATTTAATGCAAAACATGGATCTGGTTAAGCACGTAAATTGATTAAATTATTAAAACTTTTTAGAGCTGGGCGCCTGGAAAGCTAGTTTGTCCTATTGCACAGATACTGTATTCCGGAGATCTTAACATAAATCAGCAAGTCTGCCTAAATCCGAAAGGTGTTGCCACAAACAGAAGTCAAATAAAAATATCAAAAGGATGACTGCTACAACATAAACATCATTTAGAAGTCACATAAGCGCTTTAAGATGCAATTCCAGACAAAATCAAGGTTGTGTTACCCACATGTTCAGTATTTGACATGTTTCAAACGTCTTCACAGCAGTGTGGCCATTGCGAGCGATGATTTTTCCCGTGTACATGGACAGGGATTGGTTCTTTATTGATATTAAACTTGATCCGCATTTACTGTGAATGCAGTCAGAAAGACAGAAGGCGATATCGGGCCAACAGGGTTACATAGACCATTGCTATACAGGTCTGGCCTGCATACTATGCACCAGGTTTTCCCAAAAAATAATTAAGCCGGCTCAGAAGTCAACTACGTAAGTGTCCGTGAGGCCACATTCACAAGGAAACATTTTACTTCCGAAGAGAACTGAGTTATGTCGTCAGTTGGCGGCCTTCTGTGTCACGGCTTTTAGCGCATCCTACTAGTTTAAAGGCGCGTCAGACTACTTACGGTGTAAATGCTGTAGGTACGGGGTCCACAGAATCAACCTCACTCTCCCTTCCATCTCCCAGACAGCAGTTCACTGTTCGAGCTGGTCAGTCATCTGATGTTTGGACGCAAGCGGCTGCCAAAATTAATCAGTCTGCCTACGCCCACCACGACGCACCGGGTCTTCCCAGCTTATGTTCGTGAGGTTTCCCAACAAAATAGCATCTCCGACTTCGTTGCCCGCAAAATTGTCTTCATACAGCTGTAGTTTTCACTTTATCAAAACAGCAGTAATTCTTCAAGCAAAACTCAAAAGTTAACAATATTTTGGAGGGAGATTTCCTACGTTCGTTTAAATCAGAGGGATGGTCAAGGGAATTACCATTTCAGTGTACCTCCCGGTGTTACCACACATGCAGACACGTTAGATTTTTGAAAGACCAGACGAATATTCGACCAAGCGGATGGAACGTAACTGCAACTTGTGAGCGATGACTTTTAGATGTGAACACGGCTCAATGCGGCTTAGAACGGTTTAATACTTACTTGCGCACTCGGATAACACTTCTCACAGTAAAACACAAATTACTTTTGCAGTGGATCGCAAACTTCTTGACTGGTCGTACCCAGACCGTATGT